ATACATGACCTAAAGAAACCTATACTACTCCAAACTATGTTCCACGATGACTCTAAAGGTGGTACGAAAGGTAGAGTTTATACCATCTTCATTGATGACTTCAACTCTTCTTGTAGATGCATGACTAGGGTTAGGGGGTATGCCATCAGCTCATGTACATTTACAAAGAAGCCCTTAACTATGAAATAATCAATTCGCAATTCTTATATAAAAATGGACTATTTGAGTCTTATATATATAATAATCAATTCTATTATAATAATAATAATAATAATAATAATAATAATAATAATAATAATAATAAACTAACAACATTTTATTTTAAATTGTTTTTTAAACATAATTTTACTAATTAAAATATTTTTTAATCTATCAAACCAATCACATCACTCACAAATTTTTCTCTCATTTTCTCTCATTTCTTATTATCTTTCCTATAATCCAAAGAACCTCGTTTTTACCTTTCTTTTTCCTCAAATTCATTCATTATGGAAGAGGAAGTGAATTTTTCATTTGTTTCCATGTGTGTGAATGGATTTAAGAGCACAAATTTGAGAAAAGGAGTGAACAAAGCTCATGTGTAACATCCCAAAATATATAGTATAAACTATTTAAATAGTAGTCAACATCATAATATGATAGAATAGTTAAAGACTTGCAGATAAGGAGTTAATCTTACAGTCATCCAAAATTGCTATAAAATTTAAAACTTTATCTACAATAGAGTATTTCAAAACTATACAAAAACAACTAGAAGATACTAACTAAACTAAATAGCAGCGTCATCACCCTCCAATGCCTGCTCCAGAGGAACCTCATCCACCTCTGCTCATATCCAAATGGATGGTCATTGCAAAAGAAAAACATCACACGTACAACATACAAACATAAGCATAAGTGTGAGCTAGGTAAACAAAGATCATATAATTATAATAACATAAGACATGTAGAGCTCAATCAAACACATCATACTAGATCACACATCCTAACATGTTAAATTCTAGACTTGACTCGTTCGAACTTAGAATAATTGTCGAGCTATGGTGGGTTATGCACTCGTGGTGGCCTCTACTGCTTTGCAAAGCCATTGCCAAAGGGTTTCACCTTGCCACCCTCACGAGGTTAGTCTGTTCCGGGCCTTGAGGCATACTGGAAGCTCTCAAGACTAAGACCTCCTACTACTCCTCACCACATGGTTCAATCCTCTCTACTTGAGAATGAAAGACCATTGGAGTTTCAGGAAAACCCCCAAGACTGAGCTCCCTCCAATTCGTAAGGTGAGATCAGGAGTCACTCGCATAGCGATTTGTCTCGCTATGCGAATTAACTCGCAGAGGTACCAGACCTCAACCTCTCGCATAGCGGACCCAGATCGCTATGCGAGAACCCCAAACAGAGACTAACCTTCCCAAACCACTCGCTATGCTATCCTTTTTGCCATTCGAATAAAATTAGAATTTAACCCCAGACCACAATCAAGCGCATAGCGCCTTGATTCGCCATGCAAATCACTAGACAGAGAGCAACCTACTCCAACCATTTGCACAACGCCCAAATTCGCTATTCGAATAAACAAACAGAGAACAACCTCTCACGCCATTCGCACATCGCACCAACTCGTTGTGTGAATGCCCTTGGCAGAGAGCACCTTGTCATAGCGACTCGCTATGCGAAACTACTCGCACAGCGAGTCTGCATAATCTGCAGAACGTAATTCTGCAGATTTATATAACTCAAACACCAAATACCTATTCTAACTATTTTCCTCAACTTCTAACACTCCTAGATTGTATTATATATCTAATTATACTTGTTTAAGTGATTCTAAACATGCCTACCACTAATCTAAAGTGATTATGACCCAATTCCCATTCTAAAACACTGAATTTCACCACTTAAAGACCCAAATCAAATTCTATCACTTTGCACATGTTTTTGACCATTTAGAAGACTCACACAAGTCACAAGTGACTTACCTATACTGCCTAAACAGACCAAAAGAGCCACTGACCTCTAATTCCCAATTTCACCATCTCACTTCCTCTAGAATGTCCTAAAACACTTNGAATGCCCTTGGCAGAGAGCACCTTGTCATAGCGACTCGCTATGCGAAACTACTCGCACAGCGAGTCTGCATAATCTGCAGAACGTAATTCTGCAGATTTATATAACTCAAACACCAAATACCTATTCTAACTATTTTCCTCAACTTCTAACACTCCTAGATTGTATTATATATCTAATTATACTTGTTTAAGTGATTCTAAACATGCCTACCACTAATCTAAAGTGATTATGACCCAATTCCCATTCTAAAACACTGAATTTCACCACTTAAAGACCCAAATCAAATTCTATCACTTTGCACATGTTTTTGACCATTTAGAAGACTCACACAAGTCACAAGTGACTTACCTATACTGCCTAAACAGACCAAAAGAGCCACTGACCTCTAATTCCCAATTTCACCATCTCACTTCCTCTAGAATGTCCTAAAACACTTCCAATTCTCTAACTTTCTATCCAGCAGCTACTATCACATAATACAATCTTATTATGTATCAAATTACAGATGCACAATTCATCCCAAATCAGCTCACAAACCACCTTTCTCATATTTACATTAATCATTCAAAATATACATGATTCAACTTACACAATTACCACATTCCAGCTCAAACAACAACTACATGTAGAAATCAATACACACACCTATCAAACTATCAATTCAAATAGAAATCTAACTCCCCTTACCTTAGAGATTCACAGTCCAGCTCGCCAGATTACCTCTACAGTACCTTGCACCGCAAGGGTACTCAACAGGACCCTACAAATCACCAATTGGTGATCAAGAACAACTCTTAGAGCTAAAATTTGACAGAGAATGGAAAGGAGAACACCCAAAACACATGCAATCAGTAGAGATTGCCTGGTCCAGGTTTGAAAACAGCGGAAAGATGGAAAGAACAACTTACTAACTAGAATCGAGAAATTGATCGATCAGTTACGAAGCCTTTAATGCCTTGGATGTCTGGGCACCTCCTGATCATCAATCTGACAGCTCAATGAAAAGAAAATCTAGAGAGAAGTCAAAGAAAGAGTAGAGAACGGAGGTTTTAGAGAGATGGAGTTTTAAGATAATGAACCGAGCTTTAGTAAGTTATATCTATATTATATGATTATTTTAAAATTAAGAAGCTCATCTCATTATTTCAGTCCATTTATCTACTCTATTACTCTATTTTCCGAGTTCTTACATCATGTGCATTTACATAGAAGCCCTTAACCATGAAATAATCTATTCTTGATTTTTATATAAGAATTAATATTTGATTCTTATATATATAATAATCGATTTTATAATTACTATATAATATATAAATAATAATTCACTAACTTCACTTTATTTTAAATTATATTTTAAACACAAGGATAAAAGTGTAGCCTTACTATTTCATAAACTAAAACCTTTTTTTAATCTATTAAACTAATTACATCACTCATAAACTTTCTTTTGCTTTAATTTTTCACCATCTTTATCTTAATTCAAATCATCTCACTTTCATTTCTTTTTTCCCTCAAATCCACTCATTTCCACTCCATTAAATCCTTTATCCAATCCAAATACAATATTAAGGTTTTTAGTTAAAGATGGTGAACATGCAAGTTACCAAGCAAGAAAGAATATGTATAGAAAGAATCTTTGTTTTAAATAAAGAGATTAAATTTATAATAAATGGAAAAACAAATAGTTTAAAACTATTTATAGTCTTTTTCGAATTATAAATTCATTCTCCATTTAATTTAACTTCTTGCTTTTAAGAATAATAAACTGGTCTTACATTGCTCCGGTTAGCAAATGAGGTTTTCTTGTAAATTTTTAAAGAGATTTCCATGTTTTAACCTCTTGGTTAAGAATGTTATATTTTGGATTGAGCATGTCTTCTTACTTTTTTTTTATCAACAATAATAAATAACTCAATAAAGAGGACATTTGGAATGTCCTATCTCATATACAAAGTGAAAAATACTTACATAGAAAAAAAAGTAACAAAGACTTTTGTGTGTTCATATTTCCTTATTTTACTTATATTGTACATGAATAATTGGTAGATAACACTATTTTATTTACAAATTCTGACTTTTTAATAATATTTATTCAATAAAAATGTAACATTTTTAAAACATTATTTAATCTTTTTAGGAATATTTTCTTTTATAAAAAAGTAACATTGTAAAAATGTTATCACAAATCTTTAGTAATGTTTTTTTAAATAGAAAGACTTTTTCAAATTATTACTAAAAAATTAAGTAATATTTTTTTTTATAAAGGCAACATTTTATAAATGTTATTAATATAAATATGTCGTAACATTTCAACAAATGTAACTAAAAAAACACACTGATAATTTAATGTTAAGTTTGTTCATCAAACAACAAGAAAATACAATTATTATGCAGTCCAAAGAAATGTCACAAAATCAACTATTTTATGTAGTTTTTTTTTTTATAAAGGCAACATTTTATAAATGTTATTAATATAAATATGTCGTAAAATTTCAACAAATGTAACTAAAAAAACACTGATAATTTAATGTTAAGTTTGTTCATCAAACAACAAGAAAATACAATTATTATGCAGTCCAAAGAAATGTCACAAAATCAACTATTTTATGTAGTTTTTTTTTTTATAAAGGCAACATTTTATAAATGTTATTAATATAAATATGTCGTAACATTTCAACAAATGTAACTAAAAAAACACACTGATAATTTAATGTTAAGTTTGTTCATCAAACAACAAGAAAATACAATTATTATGCAGTCCAAAGAAATGTCACAAAATCAACTATTTTATGTAGTTTTTTTTTTTATAAAGGCAACATTTTATAAATGTTATTAATATAAATATGTCGTAACATTTCAACAAATGTAACTAAAAAAACACACTGATAATTTAATGTTAAGTTTGTTCATCAAACAACAAGAAAATACAATTATTATGCAGTCCAAAGAAATGTCACAAAATCAACTATTTTATGTAGTTTTTTTTTATGTACACATGTATTTATCTATCTTCACACAGAAACTACTCTACTATAGTCAGAACATTGCAGATGTTGAACTCATAAGCAATAAAGAATGCTCAAAAAGGCCACAACATCAAAACAAGTTAATTTCAACTCAGCCTACAAAATTACGAATTAACCAGAACTACTATCACAAAGTTCAAAAACAAAAAATCCTGACATAATGAAATGCAAATCCTCAAAATCTGGTGCTTTTGGGTCCTTCCAGCTGAGCAGAGTACTACAATCTCTTTCTTTTGAGTGGCCAAATCACCAACCACTCTGGATCCTTCCAATCTAAGTGCCAATACACCTAGGAGAGGATAGGAGAATCAAAATTTAATGAAAGAAAGCAAACTATCTAACAATGCATAAAATAGAAGACATTCACACCTTGTTTGAACATCAGGTCTGGTAGGTACTTGAAACTAACATTTTTAAATTCAATCTCTCCCTTCACTTGTATGTGAATCCAGAGTCATCACTTGGGTCAATTTGTGATTTCCATCAAGAATACCAAATACAGAAGCTGCAACACTTTTTGATTGGGTTTTCTGTCCATCTTCTCCAAACCCTCCTCCCACAATGAGCCAAGGTCAAGATAATGAAATAGAGAAGAGGAATGCCAACAGCACAACCACCAGGCACCAAATTGTCTGGATAAGGAAACAGCAAGTCAAAGAAAACAATGTAGTTTTAAGCCTTAATTGAAGGCAAAAGTCATAAAAAAAACATTTATATTCCAAGATATCAATTGATAAAATATAATTCACAGTACATACAGGGGACCTTTTATTGTTACACTTCTCATGTTTTCTGAAATCCACTAAAATTCAAGCAGACAGACACCACTGGTGAAAGATGGCTGGTTACTAGTTACAGCTGTAAATTTTAGGGTAAAAATATAATGTAAAGAGTGATATTTTACCCCCATTCCTACAACAATGTGAACAATGGGAACAAAATATGTATCCACTTTGTTCCCCTATGTGTACTCAATAGATGCGATGACCATTGAGAATGTGTGGATTGTGACAAATGCAAGAGCAATAGTTGCTGCAATGTATATACTAAACGGTGAGCTAATTGGTGACGTTAAATATTAAAAATAACATATCTCAATTTGGAAGAATAAAAAAATCAGAGCTATTGCCGTTTATATATAAAATCTGAGGCTTAGTGGGAGGAAAACGCTATTAAAGATTCTCACGAGGCAACTCTAACCCAAACTTTATATAAACTCACATTAATGATATGAATATGTAATAAATCCTTAGATGGCAAAGTTTTCAGAAGTTTGAAGCTGTAAAATCCTACAGTGTTCATATACATGCATTCAACAACCAGTGGTAGGAATACTCACCAAAAAGAAAGAAAAATGGAACTTTTGAACACCTGTCAACAAAATATGTTGCTGGACCAAATGCAGGAGTTAATAGGCTGAGGCAGAAGAACGCAAAATGTGCAACATCATGACCCAACTCACAGGAACAATGCTTGTCACAGGGATTGGAAGATGTCTAAATATAATTAATATCACATAAATTGAATATCATGTATCTAGGTTCGACAAAATTGGCTATATATAACAGTTAGTTTAGCCATTTTTTAATATAAAAGAAATAAGAGCCAGTGAGTGATACAAGAAGATTCAAGAAAGAGAAGATTCAAGAAAAAGAAGAATTCAAGAACACAAGATTAAGCAAGAGAAAATTCAAGAACAAGAAGATTCAATAACAAGAAAGCCAAGAAGAAAAATTCAAGAACAAGAGTTGAAGGAGAAGAAATTAAAAAAGAAAAAGATTCACGTAAGAAAACCTCAAGAAAGAGATGATTCAAGAAAAAGAATTAAAATAATTTAAGAGAAAAAGCTCAAGAAGATGATTGATTAAAAATTCAAGAAGAAAAGATTCAACAAGAAAAGGAATCCAAAAAGAAAATTATTCAAGAGGAAAAGATTCAAGAAGATAAAGAACAAGAAAAATTCAAGAAGAATTAAAAGAATTTATCAGGAACAATTCAAGAAGATGATTAAAGATTCAAGAAAAAGAATTCAAAAAGATGCTTCAAAAAAGGAAAGATTTAAGAAGAATTCAAGAAGAAACAGATTCAATAAAAAAAATTCAAGAAAAAAGAAGATTCAAGAAGACCAGAATCAAGAAGAAAATTCAAGAACAAGAATATTAAAGAAGAAGAAGAAGTAAAATTCAAGAAGAAGAAGAAACAAAATTCAAGAACAAGACGATTCAAGAAGAAAAAGAACAAAAATGAAAATTAAAGAACAAGAATTCAAGAAGTTAAAAAAGAAAAAGATTCAAGAAAAAGAACAGCAGTAAGACCAAGAACAAGTGTTCAAGAAGAATTAAAAGAATTTTAGAGGAAGAATTCAAGAAGATGATTAAAGATTCAAGAAAAATAATTCAAAAACAAGATTCAAGAAAGAAAGATTCAACTAGAATATTCAAGAAAAAGAAAATTCAAGAAGAAAAGATTCAAGAACAAGAAAAAACAAGAAGAAAATTTAAAAAAGAAAAATCCAAGAAATTTCAAAAGAAGAAGACTCCAGAAGGAGAATCAAGAAGAAAAAGCTTCAAGATGAAGAAAAATATTCAAGATGTAGAATGTGAGTTATTATTGCTATTATAATTCTCGTGTCAAATGTTGATCCCAGTTATGATTAAATGCTGACTCTCAAGTAATGTTGATGGCTAATATTAGTGGCATTATTTCTTGGAAGTTACGATAGAGATGGTTAAATTGCTTGGAGAATGGAAGGAGCATGTTTATACACATTTCGCAGACCTTTAGGCCTTGTTCTTTTGAGTGGATTTGAGGGGATTTGAGAGGATTTGAAGATAAATTTTTTTGTCTTTTATTTGAGTGAATTTGGAGGTAAATGAGAGTGAATTTGGAAATAAAATTTGTGAGAATTAGTAAAGAATTGTATTTACGTGACAAAATAAAAAAATTTATTTCCAAATTCACTCTCATTTAACTCCAAATTCACTCAAATAAACGACAAAAAAAATTATTTTCAAATCCTCTCAAATCTCCTCAAATCCACTCCCTCAAATCCACTCAAAAGAACAGGGGCTTAGAGAGGGTAATCAGTGTTCAATAGGCTTGCTGATTACTAGATGTCAGTATTTTCATTGGTGGGATAACATACCTGATTTCTTAATGATGTATTTTTAAGGGAAAGATACAATCTTCCTTGGTATATAAGTCTTCTTCATAGTGGATTTTGGTTTGGTTCTCCCCGCCCTTGTTTGTACTGTTTTTTTTTCTTCTTTATATTTATATTATTTTAGGAGTGCTGCAGATGATTGTTGTTGATAGTGGTGTCAACTTGGTCGAGATGACTACCAAAATAGTGATGCAATAACACTTCTGTTTCTTTTAAAAAAAAAAAAAAGACATGTCGAGCATTTAACTGAAAATAGATTTTAGTACCAGGTTTAGTGGTGCCTGAATGAATGCCTCAAGACTTGTTTTCAGGAATTTATGCCACTAATCACCAGTTAAGGCCCTTGGTCTATGTTCAATAGTAGAAAGGGACATCCCTGTCTGTGAAACTGCTCTGACAAATGCCATATTTGCAGTTAAAGTAGGGGCATGCCAACGGTCACCAGTGCCAAAGACAACTTTGTTTTTCAATGCCAGCTTTCTTGTTGTTGGGAGGCCCATCATGCGCTCTGAGGGAGTATCAGGAACAACCCTGAGATGATACTTTAGCTTGTCAGTGCAAATTATCGCAGATGGTACTTTAGGCACTGGTAATGTGACAAAATAGTATCAACATTTGATTCAAGTGTGAACTGTATACATAGAAGATTACGTAAAAGAAATCATCAACGAAACTATATAAGTATAGCAGAACATCCTCCAATTGATTTCCTAAGACAGATTACTTGGCATAGTAACAAACTAGTTATGTCAAAATAAATTTATGCTGCAAATTTTCTTTCTGTTTTTTATGTAAACAAAGACTTAACTCACCTGAGATAATCTATCAACCTGGCAGCTCTCAGTTTCTCATTGGGTCCTCCACACATCGATACCAACTCCTTAAATTCCAAAAGAACACTCTCACAAATTAGGCCATGCTTTCCATGTAGGATTCTACCAAATTTCAAATGGATTGGGTTTTGAATTTCAGACATTATCTAGCAAAAAAAAATGAGAACTTTAATAAGTTCAATTGAAGCTGAAAAGTAATTTATAATGCAAAGACTACACAAAGTAATGGTTGTTGTTGTAATCTCAATAAGATTACTTACTTGACCAATCACAAAATCGAAGTTTCCCTTAAACCTCTGCCTCATTTCACTGTCAGGAGTAGCCAGAAGTTTATTTGTTCCACCATTACTAATTCCTGAAACAAGAGCTATCAGAGCTGTTGTATCAAAATTTACTAGGTCGGTCTCACCTAAGAGATTCCCAGGTTTTGCGGATTCAAATTTTTTAATCTCCATTGAAATTGGTTTCATTCCCATAAGAATGGAACAGAATGTATCACCCAAGTTTATTCCAACATTCTCTTCTATAGGCTGTGGTTGAGTTTTGGCTTCATCTACAAAAAGCTCAAGATGAGAGTAGTCCCCAGTTCTGGCATTTTCTTCCAATTGTTGTGGTTGAGTTTCAGCTTTTCCTACCGAAAGATCTATTTGGGAAGAGTCTACAGCCGAACCTTGAATAATACACCCAGAATTTGGAACAACATCCTTGCCAACAGCAGGGTTAATTTCAAGGACACATGAATTTCTGTATGATCTTGCAATAACATTTATCCAGTCACCTTCAGTTTCTTCCAACACGTCAGAACTGAAAACTGAGAAATCCAACTCGATTTCATATGCCCCAAGTTCATCTCGAAGTTTGTTGTAAATGTTGGTTGCAAGCCCATTGGCAAAGAAAAGAATGACTGAGGAAGGTCTTAATGTTAAGTTAGACTGCGCAGCAGCAAGTACTTCTTGAATCCGTAGCTTTAAACCCTTACTTTTACGGCTTCTATCCCAAGAAATATACTCTGGATTTCTATCAGATACTATAATCCAGACAGGCTTCCTGTTGAGGGTACAAACCACATCAACATGAATGTGTTTAAGAGAAGAATCAAGTCTTTCTTCACTGCTAACAGAAGGTGAGAGTGGGATTGACTTGCAAACTCGAGAAACTCCAGTTATGAAAGGCTGCTGGAGAATATGGACAACTGTTTCAAGGTGCCCAATGTTGACACTGGTATATTCATCACATACACAGAAATTGTCATAAATTGTGAAATAATACAGAAAGTATTAACCAAGAGTCCTCATTTAAAGATGAAACTATGACAAACAAAAAGGATTACACGTTTGCTATTCTATATTTAGAGTAAAAAATTAAGAACAACTATTAAATAAAATAAAAATCACTTGATCATAGTAAAGTCACAAAAATCCTGTCCAGTCCTAGACAATGTAAAAGGTTCAGCCGGTAAATGTGTTATGATAAATGCCAGCAACACACTTCTTGATGCACTCCTTTCAATACACTATCATCAGGTGCATTTTATGTAAGTTCCACAAAAAAACTTGAATCAATCTCTTTTCTGTAGGGTTCATTTAAATTCAACATCTTAAAATATTGCGCCAGTAAGCATTTGTCGATGCTTCATTAGAAATTATAGGATGACTCAACTTTGTTTGATGATTAAAAATTGCAAATCCACGAAGTTGGTCAAAGTTAGTCATATCTAACAACTCAAAACACACAACAGGAATACCCACCAATCAAAACTTGATTTACAAACATGAATAGAATCAAATACAAAAATGTTATGATATTGAAGAAGAGAAACCTGAGGGGCCCAGAAGAAGAAGAAGACGAGGGGCGAGAGAGGAAAGAGAGATCGGCACGTGCCAATTTCAGGAGGGTTCGTTTACACGAGTGAGTGATGTTGGTGGAACAAGGTAACTTGTCAATGGCATCAATGACGCACTTGCATCTCTGCTTCGCCACTTCGACTTGTGCAACCCTTTGTTCCTCCTCCATTCTGTTATTGCTCTGTTTTGCTTCCAAGGAATCGACTTTGTTCTTTAATTGCAAACCCTTTTCCTCTAATTTCCCATTTCTTGTTCCGTGTTGAAGATTCTTCGCTACTGGAGAGTGGACCCTTTTTAAAACCCTAGTACCAATTTCACGTTACGGCTACCATTTTCTTATGTTGTCAACTTCTTCCATAAGTGATGAATTTTTCCCCCTTACACATGCCACTTATCCTTAATTATACTTTTACATGATTATTTTTAATGTAACTTTTGCACATAAATTACAAGTATTTTTAATGTATTTAAACTCGACTAAATAAATATTTTTATAATTTTAATAATTCAAAGTAATATAAAACTATGAAAATAATATCTAACTTTAAATACTTCTGTCAGTAGTTTATAGCAACTTGACAGTGAAAGCCGATTGAAAATTTGTTTTATACCAAAAGCACAATGACTAATCTAAATTTTATCCCATAAAAATCCCTTTATAGGTAAAACTTTGTAGCACAAAACATTGTCAAGACAGTGTTACCATAATAATGACGGGTTTGCCAGTTTCCTTGTTGTTTCTGGTCGATGACTACAAAGAAAATGGATAGTGAAACTGGCATGAATTGGTTAAGCTATAACAAAATACCCTTCTCTTTATGACTAGTTTATCAACCTCTTCACATAACCACATTCCATAGTTGTTTTGTCAATTGTCATGGTACAAATGTAACTATCTTCTTCTCTTCGTAACTACACACACAGTTATGATGTCTTTCTTAGTTTTCGTGGTGTAGATACAAGAACTGGTTTTACTGGTCATCTCTATAGTGCTTTGTGTCAAAGGGGAATCCTGACCTTCATGGATGATGATGCTTTGAGCAAAGGGGAAGAGATTACGCCTTCCCTTCTCAATGCAATAAGAAAATGTAGGATAGCCATAGTTATTTTCTCTAAAAACTATCCATCCTCTACATTTTGCTTAAATGAACTGGTCCAAATCCTTGCCTTTCATACTTCCAAAGAAAATACATGGATTTGGCTAGTTTTTTATGATGTAGATCCATCAGAAGTGCGTCATCAAACGGGGAGTTATGCAGAAGCATTTGAAAAATATGAACAAGAAAGATTCAAGAATGACCAAGAGAAGGTTCAAAAGTGGAGGTTGGCTTTGCATCAAGCAGCTGATTTTTCTGGCTGGCATTTCAAACATGGGTGACACACCTCTCCTTGTTGCTTTCAGTTCATCTTACTGTCGCATACCTGTTAGAACTTTTTCTCATTAAATATCAAGTATGAAAAAGTAATCAATACAGAACGCTGATAACACAAATTTGTGTGTATGTGGCCCTAGTCACTTGTTTTACCCAACAAATAGACAGAAGTGAATTAGTTGGTATTTGTAATGCATAAATAGGAAAGTTGTCATGAATTTGATGCATTAAGTTTCACTTTAATCAACTGCAGGGGAGAATATGAGCATGTGATAATTAAAAGAATCCTGGAAAAGATCTCCTGTAAGATTAATCGACCTCTCTTGCAAATAGCTGATTATCCCGTTGGATTGGAAGAAAGGATGAGATATGTATTATCACTAATGAATGCTGAATTTGATACCAAAGTCAAGATGCTTGGGATTCATGGTATTGGAGGAATAGGAAAATAAACTCTTGCAAGCGCAATATATAACTTGATAGCTCATCAATTTGAACATTCATGTTTTCTTGCTAATGTTAGAGAAAAGTCATTAACTAGGCATGGCCTTGTGCAGATCCAAGAAACAATGCTTTCAGAATTAGCAGGGGAGAGAAATATCAAGTTGGGGGATGTGAATCAAGGAATTCCAATATTAAAAGAAAGACTCCATCAAAAGAGTGTCCTTCTTATTCTTGATGACATTGACAAAAGGGAACAATTACAAGCAACTGCAGGTGGACTTGATTGGTTTGGTATAGGCAGCATGGTCATCATCACAACAAGAGATAAACATTTGTTAGATATTCATGGTGTTGAAAAACAGTATGAGGTTGATATTTTCAATGTTACGGAAGCTATGAAATTGTTTCGGTGGAATGCGTTAAGAAACAAAGTAGTTGATCCAAGTTGCACAGAAATCATAAAGCGTGCAATATACTATACTGGTGGTCTTCCATTGGCTTTGGAAACAATAGGCTCAAACTTGTTAGGTAAAACATTAGATGAATGGAAATCTGCATTGGATGCATATGAAAAATTTCCAAGTAGAGGTATTCAAGAAATTCTTCAAGTAAGCTATGATGGCTTGGAGGAAAATGAGAAGGATATTTTTCTAGACATAGCTTGCTTCTTCAGAGGATGCACTGTGAAAAAAGTTACAGATATGCTAAATGCTTGTGGCTTTCATGCAGAATATGGAATTAGTGTTCTGCGAAATAAATCACTCGTTAACATTTTGATGTCTGGTGAACATGATGGTGAAATTGTGACAATGCATGACTTGATTCAATGTATGGGAAAAGAAATAGTTAGACAGCAATCAACCTTACCTGAAAAACGCAGTAGGTTGTGGTTTTATCAAGACATCTCTTGTGTTTTGGAGAAAAACATGGTAAGTTTTTTGATAGGAACCCGGAAATAGTTAGGCCCAAACCCAAAATATCTAAGGTGTATGTTAGACAAAGAAGGAAGGGCAAAGTAGGGGATCAAAATGGTCAGAGAGAGAATGAGAAGAATCTTTCTATATAACAAACTGCTGAGCTGGCACAGTAGGAAATGAGTGATTATGTTGTTTGGGGTATAAGGAGTGGAAAGAGAGTGGGGAGAAGGGGGGGCTGGAATTGGCTGGGAATCGGGAGAGACTAGACACTCTCTAACTGTCTAGAAATACCTTTTTTTGCGCTGTTACAGATCTGTATTCTCTTTCTGGGATATGCACTCTGTTTTTCTTTGATAATAAAGTGACTATTCAGCTATTGTGTGCTTCCTTATTTCTAGTATCTATCAATTGGTATTCAGAGCCCGCGCTTCTTGGGGTCTGGATGGTTATTACAAGAACAACAATGGAGTCGAGGATTGAAAATCTAGAGAAAAGTATGCTTGAATGGAAGCATG